TGTCAGTTCAAATATCTTCTGTATCACTGGCGAGCTGGAACTAATTCGCGAGTAGTGTTGTGGCGAACATATGGTGACTGCGAAAACTACGGCATTCTTAATGGCCACCGAGGCGCAGTTCTAGATCTGCAATGGTCAAGAGACTCCAAAATAGTCTTCTCGGCTTCGGCAGATATGCATCTGGCAAGTTGGGACCTCGAGAACGGAACCAGAATACGAAGATACATTGGCCACGAAGAGATTGTCAATACCGTGGACCTTAGTAAACGAGGCGAGGATATGCTAGTCAGTGGAAGTGACGATGGCTCTATCGGCTTGTGGGATCCAAGATCAAAGAACGCAGCAGACTACATTCAGACGGAATTTCCCATTACGGCCATTGCTATGTCGGAGGCTGGAAACGAGGTCTATACGGGAGGCATCGACAATGACATTAAAGTCTGGGATCTGCGCAAAAAGTCCGTCGTGTACTCGATGCTGGGGCACCAAGATACGATCACCTCTCTCAGAGTCTCTCCAGACTCGCAATCTTTGCTTTCATATGCTATGGACTCTACAGTAAGGACATGGGACATCCGGCCATTTGCCCCGACCGATAGAGCCATTAGAACGTTCGACGGCGCGTCCATGGGCCTGGAGAAGAACCTCATCAAGGCTAGCTGGGATTCCGAAGGCAAGAAGGTGGCTGTCGGGTCCGGAGACGGTACTGCGACTATCTGGTCTAGCGAGACTGGAAAGCTCATGTACAAGCTTCCGGGTCACAAGGGAACCGTCAATTGTGTCGAGTTCGCGCCCGGAACGGAGCCCATCGGTGAGCATCATCTCTTTTCGCGATACAAGAGACGTTAGGCTAACAATTTGTGACAGTACTTTCCGCGTCGTCGGATCGGAATATGCTGTTAGGGGAGCTGCGGTGAAGGGAACCACCACCGGTGGACTTTCTCCATACTAGCCATATCGTCGACACGAAGTCCGCGTCTTCTGATGTTGCACCAAATCAATGTTTGCCTGCATGCTTTCGGTGCGGACAATGCGGTGCGTAGGCGGCGCAGAGACGCTGTACGGGTATGCAACCCATATATCACATCGCATCACCAACAAGCTAGGAACGTTTGGTCCTAACGGCTCATACCGAGTCTTGGTAAGTGCCATCTGCAAAGGCACATCATTCCGGTATGGCAGCAGGGGGCATAGACGGGACACGAGCATGAGTGTCCGGTGTTGATCATAGCAGAACCTCGTGAACACTGCAATAGATCAGATAAGACAAAGGCGAGCAGACACATTCGGGAACTGCCGCTTGGAAATGCAGGAAAATGCCGATACCGGCGACTGGTAGTTGCATAGGGCTTACGCAAGGGAGTCTAGGCGAGGAGTGTTTGTTGGCGAGTGACACGGCCTAGAAATGCTCATCCGATGTGTCTTCGTTTTGTCTCATAAGGGTAACCTTGAGACAAGATTGCGTGGTTCGGTTCACAGGAAACACTAATTTAGCACCATAGCTTCAATAAGGAGTAATTCGGCTTGCAGAGGCGTAGTCCCCAATTGATTGACTTTGGTAACGAGATACCTAATTAATGTCTTGGGCAAACCCAGTTGGCTAGGCTGCCCACAGGCAGATGTCCCAGCAAGGGCCATGGTCCCCGTGTTTCCTCTTTTGATCATGTGGTGCGCGGCCGTGATGCGGAAGTTTCTGGGACGTTGAACTCTATCGGCTTCTAGAGGGATTAGAAACGCAGCTCGGAGGTCGGAACATTGCGCAATCTAACGGTCCGAGAACGAATCAAGGAGTAGAAACCAAGAAGGATATAAGTGTTGAATCCAGTGACTTTGGACGATGACGCGGATGGACGTCGGCTCCGAATGTTTAAGTGTGCCAGTTTGTGTGTCTCAATTCAATTGGGCGCCACATTGCAAGACCTTCTCTAGCTGTCACGTGTACGAAGTACTCACAGCAATTAATATCGATACGCAAATGCCTACGCTGTGGCAATGGCACACGAGAGAGACGGCAACGATGGCTTGTCGTGATAATGTGTGATGAGTGCAAATTTGCTGTCAAGACTTGTGTCCGCGCGTTGTCCGTGCACAATCAAATGGGAGGTTGCTGCCGTCCCATTTGAATCATGGATGTTTTCTATAACAAGATATCTGATTATAAGTGGAGGTTCGAGGCGATATATCATTAGCCCCCACCTTAACGCAAGAGGCATGGGCTTCTATTAATACTGCGCACGTAGGAGTACTCCGTACTCCGTACGGATACTTACTACTGTACTCCGTAAATGCCAGGGCTCATCACATGAGTTTGACCACGGGAACCATCCAAATCCAACCGAGACGAATGATCCGCAGAGGACGCCAAGCTGAGGCGCGAAAGACTGCTATTCTTGCCGCCAATGTCACCTAAAATTACGATTCACAGTTTTTGTACTTACGGAGGTACTGATCTTTGGAGGCAAAGCAGTTGTGAAGACCAGAAAAATCAGAAAAGACGTGAAGTTGGGGGGGGGGGGGAGACTCAAAACGCCAACCGCCAAACGCCAAACGCCAGCCCAAACCATGGGGGCCTGGGTTGGCGTTCCCTTCTCCAAGACAAGCAAAGACTCCAATGGGAGAGCCCCTTTCCGCGCGCAATGACGGGTCTAGTCCGAATGAGGGTTGGTGCGCGTCGACACAAGAAAAATCCGAAACACGTTTTCCCCTCCAGCCGGGCCCCCTGAGCCCTTCACTAGCTGGTACGTACTCTACCCAGATCCCACGCGCTGTGCGGAGAGTTGTGAAGTTGTGACGGTGTCCGAGGTCAAATCATTCGCCCCATACGATTGGTTCCCCATGTTCCCAGAAGCAACCCCCTTGACTGCTGCGCAACACTTCAATTGTCAGAGAAGTCAACAATCGAAGGGTGAACCCGACCCGTCCAGTGCTCCTACATCTGCGCCGAGTCTTCAAGAGCTCAGACTGCAAGCATTCGTAGGTCTGCGAGAGCCCAGAGAGCCCAGAGAGAGGAAGACGGAGGGAGGATTTCCTGCATTATCCTTGCCGTCCTCGACTCAGTTTCATTGCGTACGAAGTATCCCTTTCCTCACCTCACGCATACATTCTCATCCATCCCATCTCATCTCTCTGTAAGGATGCTCCGTACGTACGGAGGTACCAAGTACAGTCACTAATGAATCGCCCACAACAAAGTCTGGGCCAAGCCAAGACTACCTTGCGGCTGTCGTATGTAGGTAGGATGCAAGGGTCTAAATGCAGATATTGTGTAGGTATTACTCCGTACGACCTGTTCACATCCTCGATGCCGCAGACCCTGCGCGTTTCCTCCCCCAATCCCCCGTCTCACTCGTCAGATCCTACTCTCGTCCTGCCCTCTCAAACACCCCTATCCCGTCCGCTTGCTCCTCCTTCCAGGTTCTCCAGAGTCGCAAGTCGCAGAATCCCACGTATGCTGGGATGAGACTGGCGTGGCGTCTGCTTGACCAGCTTCGCCGCTTTCTTTTCTTGTCCTGTCCAGTGGCACCGTACACTGATCCCCAAACGACGCACATCTAGACCAACCGCATGCTCCAGACGCCAGACTCGTTAGCCCATCGACGCCTCCTTACCTCTCATCTTTGGCTTGACATTGCATACTCCATCCCTCGCATTGCCTAGCCCTGCCTTGGACCGAACTGTTGGTTGAGGTCGCCGGCCGATCACGAAGAAGACGCTCGGAAACGACGCCTACCTACCACCCTGTACCTTGGTTGTCGTTGGCCCATCGCACCTTGCTCCCTTCTTCTCTCAGTCCATCTATGATCTGTTTCTCCTTCTTCACCAATCCACATCGCGCCCAGCGTCATGTTGGCGCCAGCTGCCTTTTTGGCATTGTCCTCATCTTCTGAGTCTTGCTAGCCCGCCTGACTTCCTCGCCCTCATTGTCAGATTAGTTCATTCTCCTTCCTCCTCCTCAAGTAACGCTGTCTGTAGACCGTCGCTTGTTCTCTTAGCTCCGGGAGCTACATTACCTAGCCAACGTTGCCCTTCTCGATAACTTCCCCTTCAAGCTGTTCTCTTGCGAACACGCGTGTCAGCCTTCCTTCGACCACTCAAGGCTCCCCTTCTCATCCGTGTGGACTTCTTTGACCAACCAAGGCGCCTTCAAGTCATCGACTACCATCGTTGATGTTTTGCGGCCGTTTCCCAGCCGTTGCTGTTAGCCCGCTACTGCCGCACCAGGAGACAAGATAGCCTTTGTTCTTCCTATCGCGGCTGACTCGATTTCTTTGTGCAACTGGCCAACAGGGGAATCTCGCCGTTGCGTTCTACGCCTCCAACGCCATTGACGGCTTCCGCTGGACGGCGACGAAACGCTCGGCGACTGCTCGCCTCGACTAAGCCAACATATACACCGAAGAATGAGAGGAGCTTGAACGGTGATAACTCCAGCTCATCTGCCAACTTCCAACGGCAAAGTGTCTGGCTATCAACTTGACTTACTCGCCATGGATTTTCTTCGGCGAGGACGTTCCTCGCAGGGGGAGGATATTGAGCAGCAGGCTTTGGCAGGGCCATCTACACATCCAGAAATGGAAGAGGGCTCACAGCCTCGGTCTAGGCGCTTGCCTGGCACAAGACCTTCGCTCTCTTCACGGAGGCGGCCCGGCAACGGGATGCAAAGATTAGAAGACGAATCCGACAGCCCGAAAACACCACGGTTTAACATCGGCCTCCCGACGCTGCCAGGAACCCGTCTGAACCTGCCACACCTCGCGAGAACATGGACCAGCGGTTCCAATGGCACCGATTCGCGACCCAACTCGACATCGCAACAACCCCTAAACCGAGTCGACGAGTCTTCTTCCCCCGAACCGCCCACGACGAGCAGAGCCGGACGACCGCCAGCTACGACTCGCGTGACAATGCCGGCGCCTGTCGCACGGCGCCCCGAAACAGAAACCTCCAGCGGGACGAGGAGGTTCACCGGACCAGATCCCGCAGAGATGCATCTGGCCGACATGGCACAGGAAGGTCGGCGGCGCAGACGACGGGCACATCGCCGACGGCAACAAGACGATAACAGCGAGGGCCATCCTAAACGATTTCTGCTCTGTATTCCATGGCCGCAATCACGGCGCATGCGATCTCAGATCCTCCGCTGCTTCATTTCAGGCGGATTCCTGACGCTCCTCCTCGCTGTCTGTAAGTGTCGCCGGAGCCTAGCTTATGGTAATTGTTTAGAGAGACTAACCGCTTGAACAGATTTAGCACTCTCCCTCACACAAAATATTCGCAGTAGCGAGTTTACCGTGTTGTTGATTCTCATCATCTTGTTCGTCACAATATTCTTCTGTCACGGCCTGATCCGGTTATGCATGCTTGTCATCCGACCGCGGGTCGACGACGAGGCCAGGCCGCCAATGCCGCAACTTTTGGCACCCGGCGGCTACGCCGTACCGCGAGAACCGATCCGAGTCGTGCTGGCGCGCGATGAAGAGGAGCAAGGGGAGGTCAGCGAGGCGGTCCTAGCCAAGCCCCCAGCCTACGGACTCTGGCGAGAGAGTGTGGTATGTAATACTTCTAAATAAGTGTGGCACTACACGTGAGGGAGTTTTGGACTGACATGTTCCATTCAGAGGGTTGATCCCAACCGCATCTACTGGCAGCGCAACCCGAACGCCGCGCCGAACGAGGGAACATCCAGTCGCGGCGATAGCAGCACTGGTCCTCGACCACCATCTTACGCATCAGAGGACGGAGTGAGCTATGTCGTGGAAGCTCGACCCCGATCCATGGCCCCGGCAGCAATGACTGACGTACTTACCCCACTACCTACACATCCTTCCGAACGGGGGCGGATGGGTGAACACAGGAGTGCATGGTAGATATGTAAACGAGAATCGACCTGTCACGGTGATGACAGGAGAGTGAAAAGAAAAGAAAAGAGCCCGCACTCCTTAAAGCGGAGAGAAGGGGCTTGTTTATTTTATCGGGTGGTTTTTGCGGCGTTGGCGCTGGCGGTATTTGTGAGCGCATCGAGAGGTTGGACCACTGTTTCCCAACTTGAGGATCTGGCGCACAAGGCAGCAGAAGCAGAGGCAATGACGTGCGGTACTTTGAAATTGCCGCGGTATGGTGAAGTTATTGTTGGGGGCCACAATATCATGTTCGGCATACAAAGAGGTACGAAAGTGTAATTTAAGAGAGGAGACATGACACAAGCGATTCCGGATGGAGAGACACGTAGAATACATCTACAAGAAGGGAACAAAAGATTCATGGCTGCGAAATACTCTTTCTCTCAAATGCTGTTCAGCATGATGACTGGTAGCTGCGGGGTGTTCTGCGAGAGTGGTTCCACAGCATGGCTGGGCTTACGTTTACCCCGGACGATCTGGCCTGGCGGCTCTGCAGAAGGTGATTGATCTCAACTCCCAAGCGGGAAAAGGGTATCACTACCTCTCGGTGTGGACAGCAATGCGCCTCGTACAGGCGGTATTCTGTGGCTGCACCAAGATGTCAGACAAAGTTCTGCATCCCATACTGCAGAATTAACAAGGCAGTAGCAAATCTGTCGCGGTAGCCCATCCGCAAAGCTGCATTTCACTCATCTGCCTCTTGCTCATCGCAGCTTCTAGCTTCCCAAGCGGAAGAATCAGAGACATAGAAACCCGACTGGGAGCGAGCGGAAACAGCTCGCCGTGGTCATCTACCGGGCTGCATTGCGCAAGCTCGAAATATCGAGAATACAGGTGTCCACAGAACTATTCCCACTGCAAATTCCTACTTTTCGACCCTGCAAGCCACTTGCAAGTGAACCTCGGACCTGTGGCCAGGGGGAACAGGGCGGGGAGGTGATATTGAGACATGACCAAGTGTCGCGACACACGGACAATGACCGGGTCAGGAACCGCCACATGGACGCCATGGGGACCGGGGTTGATACATATCTTTTTCAGTCTGGTTCATTTTTCCATTGGCGGCACATTCAGGTGGGCATGCGCTGTGAGGTTTTCTGGCCCCGTTGGTCCGGATGACTGTTCCAAGTTTGCTCAAGTGTCTTCTCTTAGCGCGAGGAGTTACGAGGGCTTGACTGAGGGGCAAGTGCCAACAGGAAGAGAGTTAGCGCGTGGAGAGGTAGCTCTGGTTCTCCCAATAAATGGTGAAGTCGATAGTGAGATAGATGTTGCCGGACAGTGGAGGTGGGTGTTTGTGCGCTCGTGTTTATTCTGTGCTTTGATCCAGAGGTTGAGAACATGGGCCTCTAGTTCGTCAGGAGTCGAGTATCCGTAGTCCGTAACTAACGAGTGGTTCCTTGAGATTGGCTGGTTTACTTCGTCGCTTGACGAGAGATGTAACGCACAGTTGGTGAGCACGTGGTGAGGTTGTTCGGGGTAAGGGCAAGGTTTGTGAGAAGGGCAACATGAAACTTCCCTGGCACTTCCAATTTTGGCAAGGCCTGGCGCAGCGGAAGATGAGCTGAGTAGGACAAGTTTGAACTCTGTTTGATAATACAGGCTGTCTTTATTGGGCTGGGTGCGGCGTATCAAGTTGACCCCGGTGAATGAGGGAAAAGTGAGCATGCGAAGAATTCGACGCCCGGTGGAGTGAGAACGAGGCGATTTGGAACTTGGACGGGGTGAAGAGTCGAGACTCGCGTCAAGATAGAGTAAGAGTCTCGTCAAAAGATGACTATTTACCAGGAGTAGGGGCCTTGGGTAACGAGTGACTTGTCGGGGCATCGTTGTGAGAGCTGGCCCAGGCGACGAGGGGGGAGGGGACTTATTCCTGCCGCCCTCCACTTTTAACGACTCTTGGTTAATTGGTTCACTGTAGTAGTGACACTTGAGTGTTGAGTCTCGACATCGTGATAAGCAACTGACCCTCCCTCGTGGTCCGCACTCATCCTCTCATGGTCTGTGCCGAATGTGAGACAGACTGACAGAGTCCTGATCGTGTCCGACGGACCGGCTTTGAACTCTTTTATCAATTCCGTCGCTTGTAATGTGTAGGAGCCCTCACCCACATGAGCTTGAAAGCTCGGGGTGAAGATCAAAAAGGTTTGGGCCTTCTTTGCTTTTCGTTCTGGGGCAGTGGAATGTTGGCATCGAATCATGGACAGAAAAGCATCCGTCATTGGCGGATGTGGGATGTGGGAGGAGCAGCGAGTGATTGAATCTGCAGGTGCAGGGCAAGTCGCAAATGCAAGGGATGCAGTTCCAAGCGAGTGCGTATCAAGCGCAAGTGCAACTCTTTCAAGTTCCATGGGCCATGGTATCGTGACAAGGTTTCCAAGTGCCCGGACCGAGAGAACCGGACTCGAATTGCAGTTGACGAGTTGACACCATCTCAGATCAAGTTCCACTCTTCAGGTGTGTGCTCTGTGACTGTCGGCCCAGTGGATGGTAGTGCGTAAAGAGAAGTCGTGATCGCTCTCAGAGCCCCAGCCCATCGTGGGAATGTCGTGGCCTTGGTCAAGAGCCAGGAAACAGAGGTAGACACTCCAGAGGCAGAACTGAGTGAATTGGTTGAATTGGTGCAAACGCGCTACGCCGATTCGAGGTAGACGTCCCACACGCACCTTGTCTCTTGCCACACGCGCTTCCCCAACCCAGTCAAACCCAGCCCATCCCGCTCAGAGCACCTCAATCCAGTCAGCCCAGTCCCACCCTTTCCTTTCTCGTCGAGTTCAGGAAGGGGTTTGCTTGGTTGTAGTGTACAGTGAGATTTCCCCTCAACGCTACCTACCTTAACCTTTCTTTGAGGGAAAGGGGTTTGGAAGAGAAGTGACTGACTGTCGGTGTCAGTCCCTCAGAACGTCAGAAAAAAAGAGAGAAAAAAGGAAGAATAAATCATTAGATACTGAGAGCGATTGAAGTAGCAGGAAGAGGCCGTTGGCTAGAAGAAGGAAAAGAGGCGGAAGAAGGCGGAAGAAGTAAGTAGACTTCACCAAACAAGGTGTGATGAATGTGGCCATCCTCTTTTGGATGTCTTGTTTCCCTGTCATGTACCCCCTTCCTTCTAAGGTAGCCTTCCGGTCTTGTGTCTACTGTAGATGCCATTTCTCACGCACTGGCACCAAAAGAACCTTGTTCCGGCTCGCCCTCATTCTGTGTGGTGTTTTGAAAAAATTTCGCCAACGTCAAGTCCGATGATCTTGTGAGCCAAAGCCTACCTTCATGTAAGGCAGCTCGTCAGGTGAGGTGCCACCTGCCTTGCTTACCTAGGAGCATTCCATTCCATTCTATCTTGTGTACCCTTGCGTACCGAAGGGAAGGAAGGAAGGAAGGAAGGAAGGAAGGAATATCGTATCTGTGTCCGTACCTACCTCACCTACCTTTCCTACTAAGGTAGCCTAGTATCCGTCCGTACCTTACCAAGTAGAACCTAAGCGGCGGCAAGAGAATATAATTCGGAAGCACGTTTCCTCGCCTCCGTCCTCTGTCTCCCACACTCACATCCAGGTCCATCCAACCTATTTGTTCCAGTCCCAGTCCCAGTCCCAGTCCCACCTCAGTCAGGTCCCAGTCCCCGGTTCCATTCAACCTGAACTCGACCCCCGCTAGTACTCCTCCTCCTACTCCTACTCCGTAAGGTACCTTACCGCGCGTGCCTTACCTCACTCCATTCTCACCTGGCCACTTGCGCTTACCTCTTCCTCCCAACTACTAGACCCCTCCTTCTCCTTCACAAATTATTATTTCCCCCCTTCCCGCATAGTCAATCGCATTTTCTCTTCGAAACAAACTCGACGTCCCCGATTTTCTCAAAGGCAATTTTTCGCGAAAAGGTGAGTTTCGCCGTCGACCCTTCGTTCCTGCATTTTGCGTCTTGTCCGCACAATTCTCATTCGCTCTCGCCCGCCTCCCGGTACCTTACCGTACCTTACCTTACCTTTACCCCTCTGTTCTTCTACCCGGGCCTCCCCCCTCGTCCTCTGCTCCCTGCTGCCATGTGGTGGTGCCGTGACGTTTCTTCGCCTTGCCGTCGCATGAAGTGCATGCGACGACGCACCCGGAAATCCAGCCCATCATGGTAGCGAGTAAGAGGAACAAGCAGCAAGCAGCAGCGGCCCTTTCTCTAGTCTATCCGCACCGTCAGCACGAAGATTTGCATCAGCACCAGCACCAGCATCAGCATCAGCATTGGCATCAGCATTCGGTCCACACTCGGCTTGCATCGCATCGCAGCGCAACCACAGTCCAGCGAGCGCAAACTAGAACATTCGGCCTCCCATCTACTCGGATTCAGATATCAGAAGCCGGGTCGCCGTTGCTCTGTAGTCGGAATCGTTTGCGCAACGCGACCGGCTTCGGTGATGCGCCAAGCCCGCCTATTGTTGGCCTGGTCGCAATTCCGCACATCTGCGCCGAGTTTCGCGCATCGCAGTCGTGTGCGCCCTACCGCGGACACAATGCAGCGAACCAATTTAGCCCACCATTTCCAAATTCAACCGTAGCCGCATCGGCCTGCCGCATGCCACATCGACCCGGTAACCGATTCTCGGCCCTCCGGCAGTGTTGAACCCGGAGTCGCATAATTGCGCCGTCTCGCTTGCTACTATCCCCGCTACCCCGGCCCCGCGTTTGCGCTCGAGTCGATGCGCTGCTCTCCTACAAAGCCCTCGGTGGATCGGTTTGGATAATCCCTCAACTCAACTTCAGCTACTCGCCACCACGCCAACAGACGGATCCAATACTTGGCGGCTATTGAAATACCTCTTCGCCGGGGAACACCATCAAAAACTACAATATGCGCACAAAGCCCTGCGTCCGGTGCTGACCTGGAGCTCGGCGCTTGCGCCTCCACCTAAGACGCGTCTGATCCTCCCAAATTGGGCGGGCGATACTTTGGACTACACTGCGATCTGGACGATGCTGCTGCT